AATAAGAAATATTTCTTAAGAAGTTTAAGAATTTTAATATAGAGAAATAATTTCAATTTTATTATGTTTTTCTATTGAAATTTTTACATTTTTATGTAATTTCTTGTAGAGGTGTATAGATTTTTTACCTTCATTTGAAAGCCCGAAATCTTAGCTTTCTAACGAACCAATATATAATTACATTGAACTTTTATTCATCGCGCGGTAGACGATTAAAGTCACACCAAATGTATGTCGATCATTGCCCGATTCCAGACTTTTGTCCACTGAGTGTACACCCAACAAGTTTATTGTATTTTTAGAATTATATTTAAGTGATTGTCGGTTGGAACCATGTTTGGAAACCAAGTACATATACTTAATACAACAATTTATGTTTATTCTTAGTGACAAATAGTATTAGTATTGTTTATTTTATGTAGAAAAGTGTTACTTATATCCCGTGCAAACTCAATTCTTGCCAAGTTAAAAAAAAAAGTATATTTACATTCGTCGAAATGATAGATTTGATTACAGAATTTCATAAAAATTGAACGTGTCTCAAATTTGAATGAGCTAAACTTGAATGAACTAAATAAGTGTAAGTGGAAATTCCGAACTGCAATACTCGTGTTATGAGTAGGAAATAAAACCGAATAAATTTGCACGTCAAAAACATTTTATCCAGAAAAAAAAGTATCGGCGATAAAATTCTTGCAAAAATCAAGAATCTCGGTGCACACTGGCACAAAAATAGATAATTGGGACAAAGCCTAGATAAAAATTCACAAGAATATATAATAATACTTGTTTACATTTCAGCTTCACGCCACAATAATTATTTTGATTTTTATTTTTAGTAGGTGAAACTCACGCCACAATAATTATTTTTATTTTTATTTTTAGCAGGTGAAACTGTTTACCCATATACATACATACACATTGTTATTTTTAGTAATTAGTGTTAGGTAATGTGATACAAATCCAAAGATGTAGTGACAATGTTACATTCAAAACTCATACACCGGTTTTTAAAATTGCACAACTCAAAAAATATAAATAGTGTGCCTCAGATTTAATTTTCAATTTCAAGTGTCCAGAAAGTTTTATAATTTATTTCGTAAATTGCGTTTAGTCGTTTTCTTATTAGAGATCCAAAATTTTGTACTTGCATCAAGTTGTTCCTCCTATTATCGATCAATAATACTAAAAAAAAAATATCACACACATGAATAGCACAAATAATTTTCGCTTCGCGAATGAATTTGAATTTGAATCTCAATTTACCAAAGAGGAGCAGCCAATACTTCCACAAATCAAAGTCCCTTTTCCACCAGACATAACGCCCGAAGAAACCATTTTAATTAAAGACGGAAAGATCCCATCGAAACCACCGAATAGTTTTATAATTTACCGTCGCGCATTCCAAAAACAATGTCGCGAATTGGGGCATTTATTAAAATTGAATGTGGTTTCCACAATGGCGGCTGAATCATGGAAAGATGAGCCATTGAAAGTAAAGAACTTCTACAAAGAATTAGCACTGCAGGCTAATCATAAGTTAATGGAACTGCGCGCTAAGCAGTTATACGACAGAACAAAAAGCAAAGTAACATACGAGCAGAATATCATAAAAGAGGAAGAAGAGGCGATTGATAATTCTTTTGTCTCAAGAAGAGAAGAACAACCGCAACAACCGCATAATCAATGGTTATATTCAAGTATTGATATTCAGCAACAGCAGCAACAGCAGCAACAATTGCAATATTTTACTATGCAAAATTCCGAGTTTCCATTAGAAGTGTCAACTCCTCGCTCACCGCCACCAACTTTTGATAATATCCAATTAACATTTGAAGACATTATGAATATTAATAGCATCCAAAGTAACCGAGACACTGTGAATACAAATAGTATTCAAAACAATCAAGAACTTTATCCTGAAACTGAATATTTACATGAAACTGAATATTCTCGTGAAATTATATCAAATTCATCTACAAAAATAAATTTTGACCTATATTCTAAACAAATCGAATTTGATAATAATAACAATTATTATTATCATATTGCTGACATTAATACTGATACTAACGATCATCATCATCATAATATTCAGCATCAAAGTTATAGTCAATTATTAGAAAAATCACCCAATTGGAGTTTAAATAATGATATTGAATCTCCATTAGATCAAAGTCCTAGTACTCAACCTTTAAACAATCATGATAACTTAGTATTAGACGATTCTCAATTTTATGAACAATTAACTTATTATTCAAATCTGAATGAAATATTTGTTTCAAATCCACCGTATATCGACGGTTATCGAAAAATGAATAGCATTCCTTCGATTTATTAGACAACAAAGGTTCTATTAACCAAGAACATTATAGATTGTATTTATATTTACATTATTATTAAAACAGACTAACTTAGAAGACTGTACATATTTGAATACATATTTGATTAAACGGTTAAACCTCGATATCACGATAATTGGTAAAAAATATCGTTACCGTTATACCGAGTGTTTTTGGTTTGCCATATAACGGAGTACGTATAGAATGAATTCTAAACGTCAATTGACATATAAATACTAAAGTATGTCTTTGTTACTACTAAATGGGTAAGAATCATCTCGCTTGTGCATTGCAAATCATATACGTATGTAGACACAATTACATAATTCCATTCTAAGAAGCGTATCCAAAAAGAAAGAATCGATACAATCATAGAATTAGCTGAGTTTCGTGTGAAAAACTGCGCCGGTGTGCGCAGTAGATTAATGCACAAGTTTCATCAAGTTTCCATTTTCTTTGTATTTCTACTTTTGGCAATGGACTTTATATTACTTTATATTCCATGTGAAATATAAGTAAAAAAATGTATAAATAGGCGGCAATTTATCTGTGCTGAGATATGTAAGAATAATTCATTTTTTCTCTCGACTAGAGAAAAAGAGCTTGAAATGTCTTTTGAAGTAACCAAAGATCCTTCGAATTATCTTCAAATTCGTGAAAAGGAATTCGAATTATTCACACCCGAAATAAAGGTGCAATTTCCACCAAAATTCGCACCATTCGAAGCTATCGTGATAAAAGACGGAAAATTTCCATCCAAGCGGCCAAACAGTTTTATTATATATCGTCGCGCCTTCCAAAAACAGTGTCGAGAAGATGGTTATTTTTATAAATTAAGTGTTGTTTCGATGATGGCCGCTGCTGCCTGGAAAAGAGAACCCGATTATGTGAAAAAAGTGTATAGAGATATTGCTGAAAAAGCTAGTTATGAATTAGATGAGATGCGTGCGAAGGAATTGCAAAAACGATTATCAGATAACGATAAGTGTAATACTCAATTTGTCATTAATGAGCAAATTGATCGTGATCAAATTACAGGATCATCATCAACCACTGCTCATTCTCAAAATGACAATAACGATAATAGTCAACAAAACCAGGATTATCCCAGAATCTTATCAAATAAAGACACTTTTCAATCTTTTTCATATTCTCAATTTCTAACTCAAGATCAAATCCACTTTTCTGAAATAAATTATTCTCCAAAAATTACATATAATATGCCGTTGAATAATTCTCTTCCTTCTCCCATTTCATCAGAAATTGATGAATGTCTTCCAATCGATGATATTCATTCCCACCTTTCTGAAATAAATTATTCTCCAAAAATTACATATAATATGCCGTTTAATAATTCTCTTCCTTCTCCCATTTCATCAGAAATTGATGAATGTCTTCCAATCGATGATATTCATTCAAATAGCCATTTTTCTTCTAATGTAAGTAATTATTTACATTTAGCAGAGAACTGTTTACAAAGCGAGAATAATAACAATTCATCGTCTACGGAAATTCTCCAATTTGAAGAAATCAATCGATTAAGTGGCTATCTGCACTCAAATGAAATAGAAATAACAATGAAGAGAAATTGTGATGAAACAATCACAGATCTTCTGAATCACGAGGAATTTAATTATATCCAGCCATTTGATTTATTTGTTTTAAATCATAATAATTTTCATGACGAATGCGATTTATAATAATGTCAATTATTCACATAATATGTCGCTTAAATGATAGATATTGCTATAAAATAAGTTTATTAGACATGTTTATTATTACATATACCATCCACAGAATTACATACAGTGCACACAAATAAAGAGTTTTTGTTTTGCTTGTAGATATCGACATGCAATGTTTTTCTCAAATTCTAATTTCGATTAGACTCTAATGAACCGTGACTTATAATATCACGTGTAATTACAGCCAATCAGGATCCATTCACGTGGTATAACCGGTGCTGAAAATAAAACTAATGTTAATATATATGCTTTTCTAAAACAATACATTGCATTATAGATCTTAACAAAAGCTATTTAACAATATATTCTTTTTTATAATTACATATTTAGATACGTATAAAGTTTTTGCAATTTAAAATTTTGGATGATTAGAGAATATACCAAATTTGGATCATACTATAAAAGGTAAAGAATAATGATCTGATTGTTCTAGATTTTCTTTTAATTATTCCACATGTTATAACATAAAGGCAGTCTAAAAAAATTCCTACAAAACGCGGCTTTTTTATACAACTAAATTTATTCACAATGAGAACTTGAGAATGTGCATATTTCAGAAATAAGTCTACTCACATACATATCATGGAAATTTATGAATACGGGACTGAAAAGACTGCGGTCCTGTACGATCCTATGTAGTTCAAACTTTTTAATAATTACGACGTGTTACTTTTTTTCTTTTTTTTTGACAACTATTCTTAAACAAATAGTAAAATTTTAAGAGCGTGAAAATAAAAGAACATTGAAATTTAAGTTGTGCATCTAATTAGAACAGGCGTGGGTTTAAAACTAAGTCATGTCATTGAAATTTTATTTCTACGTTCTCATTACACTAATAAAAGAATAACTTGTACTTTTAATGGTACCGTGCCTGGCACTTGCAGAACCCTAAACGTAATAATTGAGTAATTAAGGTCACGAAGGTATCAATAGTATCATATATAAGGACGTAGATACTTAACCATATTGTACAGTTCGATGTCATATTATAATAAAGAAAATAATTGCATCATTGCGCCAACGAAATGCGTGGAGATTCTGGATTAGAGGTACATATATGTCATTACTACAATTATTCTTGCTGATCTGTCCCCGAGTTTTCTAAACAATCTTGGTCATTAAATGCATTATCCAAATCGAATAGGCACTTCACTTCTTGTAGTATATCTAATAATTCACTTTGCTTTTTCAACTTTAATCCTGAATAATTTTTTTGGACACTTTCACAAAGCTGTTCAAGAAGAGTTTCTATCTTCAACAAAATTTCAGGTTTAGTCATATTTTCTTCATTTACTTGAGCTTTAGCTTCTTGTTTTGTAATCAGTATTGGCCTAAATAAAAAAGATTTAGTTTTATTAGTAAATTTTTCAATAATAAAATTTTGTTGAGCTTGTTTAGCAAAATATGTAAAATTTTTTAAATTTTCATCCAATTCGCATTTTCTGTCCAGACTTTGACAAATGGATCTCGAATTCACAGAATTTACAAATTCAAGACTTCGCAGAAGGATCCGAAATCTTTGGCATTCCATAGTTGATTCTGGCTGAGTTCTTGGTCCCGATGATTGATATTTGTTATACCTGATTACTTTAAATAAGTTTTTTCTAAGCTAATATTCATTATTAGTTAAAGCTCACGAATTATAATATTGTAATTAATTAAAATTGAATTAACATTAAATTTTACCTTAAAAAATTTCTTACAATTATGTGCTGCGATTTTTCAATGATGATGTTGTGAAATAGGAGGTATTAAAAATTTTAAGGTCTTGTTTATCTCTTCAATAATCGTATTTAGATCTTAATGCTGTTTATAAAGATCTGATCAAGAGACAACACAATTTTTTTCTATAATATTACATATTTTAGGATGAAGTTGCATTAATTGAACTTCATTAGCAGTTTCTATTAGACAATAAATGGAGTGACATCTTGTAGACTAAACGGGAGAAAATGCTCTTCTAGCAGCCCTTTTTAAAATTGAATTATTGATTTTTATGATCTTTTGATAATTGATTATTGCTTGTAGATATAAAAATGTCTATTATTTTAAAAAAAATTAATATAATATTAACTTTCATAGAAATAAAAAACTCTATTACTCTTGGAATCAATAACTAACCTATTCATATTTTATCCAGTAAAGTGAATCTTGCTGCTCTTTAACCCATACAAGATATTTCTTGACTAATGAGTCAAGATGATTTTTTATATATGATCATAGAAGCTTCATAACTTAATAATATATATTGCAAATAGAATTCCAAGATTTATGATGTTCAGCACATTTCTTAAAATAGGTGAGCTAATTTTCAGTTCAATAGTCCTGACATATTGCATAACATTTTAGATCAATTTCTCTAATATAAGAAAAAGTTATTATAAATAAAAACAAAATGTAAATATTTAAATAATTTACTGGTCTAACTCTATATATACATGAAGTATATTCATTTTTTCATATAATTGTCCTGGTACAAGAACTAACCAAGAAAATTTTTCTTTTAACTTGGTAGCACAATAGTATAAAATACTATCACAAGTTACTATCACCTATTTATGAGTTCTATCCTTAATATCTGATATTGTCTCTATATGTAAAAGAACTTTTTGATATTTATAATCAAATTAGAATTAATATTAATTGGATCAGAAATATAAATCTCAGGGATATTAACTTCTTGATTAGTAACTTGCTGATTAAGACTGATCTTAGGAACACACGTGGCACTTTGTTCATTGTTAATTCTATAAGATTTAAAAATTAGTGGATTAGTTAATTGATCAATCATGTTGTTTTCAATTTCAATTGCTTTCTCTTTTTGAATTTCAACCAATGTTAATAGTTGCATTTTGCAATTTGAACATGTGTTTTTTGATTTTCAATATTTTGCAGATTGCAGCCAGAACATGCTTTCATTTTGATAATATTAATTGGCATAGTATTAGTAAAGAATAATTTTTCTTCGGACAACAACAGCAAGATAAGTATGTAATTCCTTGTTGATGATTTCTTGTATTCAGGTGCTGATATTGAAAAGTTCTTCATATTGTGATCTGTTAAGAGAATTACATGTCCAAGGTGAATTAGTATGTTGAATTTTGTTTTGCGATGCCATATTAAAAGCAACGAAACTGGTAACAATATGGTAAATAATCATATTGAATCCTCGATCTAGATAATTCTTTTGCTCTCTCTACTCATTATCAAATGCGAGAAATAAAAGATCTTCAGGTAATGGTTCTTTGCATTTTGATAATTCATCTAGTCACTTTAAGAATCGATAATAGCTTCCAGACCTTGTTATGTGATTATCTATATTAATAACCATCTTTGATCGTGCAATTGAATATTTAATATTTAATAGCTGAGATAGCAAGATGAATTTCTGATACATATTTTCCATGTCGAGCTCTATATATCGAATCAACTGTAACGGCAGCTTAAAAAGCTTTTCCTAACTTAAAGTATTGGTGTCTCGATTATTTTGAACAAGAGTTTCAATAAATTTGACAGCAACCTGATTATGCTTATTAAGTCATTCGTGCGGAGTGTATATCATGAGGTTCTCTACAGAAAATCTATCATTATCTCTAATTAATGATTCTATATCATCAAATAATAATTCACATTCTGCTTTTGCTATTTTAATAATTGCTTTGATACGTTTCTGTTGATTGGCAAATCACGAATCCCACTGTTCAATAAGAACTTCATTCTCTTTATGTTGTTCATCATATAAATTTCGAATCTCAGTCATATTCTCATAAGCCTTCTGTAGTTGTTTCTTTAATTCTTCTATTTCGATTCTCTGATCTTCTAGGTGCTGCTACATTCGTACAATTTGGTTGTTGAGATCTGTTATTGACTGTGATTTCTGTTGACTTTCCAGCTGAGTAACGTGAATGATCAAATCATCTTTATCAGTATCGGATTAGAACCTTGAATGGAATCTGTAAGATGTTGATAAAAGTAATTAGCAACGATTTGATTATAGTGTTTCTCATAAATTGAATAAAAGCTTAAAGTAGAATGAAGATTAGCAAGTTCAGGAAGATAATTATGATAAAGTGCAAGTCACTTAGCTATTTCCTGATTACTTGCATGCCACCAAACTTGTTTTTCTTTTGTTTCACAGGATCTTAGTCCAACTTGACTATATTTTTTGACTAACTCTGCGAAGAGACACAGAAGGTCTTTTGCTCTTGGCTTCTGGTAAACAGACACTATTTAAAGGTTAATTAAAATAGGGTTAGTTAGCAAAATTGCGTTCTTTAGTTAACTAAGTGCATTGCAAATCGTTAGTTTTTACGTTTCATTTACTTTTTCGAAGAGTTGATTATGAGTGATTATTAGGTATTATGAAAACTAGACGTCTTTTACTATGTATTCGTATGGTTTTTAGTCATGAACACACAAACTTAAAAGTGTGCGAGAGCCAATCACATTCGAATGGTAGACTTGCAGATCATTCTAGAACTCATTTCCTTTTTCGTATATCCCCTGACTGTCACAAGCATTATAATAATGTAAACATGGCCTAAAATGGTGATTTTTTATTTTATTTAAGATGGAATTCGCTTGTAATTTTTTTACTTGTACATATATAAATAGACGATGTTTTCTACAACGTCAAACACTCTTTCCTTCAAAAAAGAGAAAAAAATAAAATGAATAATTACGAATATTTAACAGAAACTGAACGTCAACTTCTAAATGAACCTCCTTATGATCTGACTCTCACAATTGAAGAATTAACGAAGCCTGCCAAGAAAAAACGCGATAATTCTGATAAACCACCACGACCACAAAACAGTTGGATCATTTTTCGGAAAGACTATGAAGCTAATTTACGTTTACGCAGTCCTGGCGTCAAGCAAGAAATTAAACATACTGCAAAGGAATGTAGTTTAATGTGGAAATCGCAACCAAGTGAAGTCAAGCATTTTTTCAAAACATTGGGGAAAATGGCTTATGAGAATCATAAGCATATATATCCCAATTATAAGTATAAGCCGAAAAATGCAAAAGATTTAAACTATAAAAATTTTATTTTTCGGGAACAAAAAAAATACACGACCAAGTCTAGCAAAACAAGTGTCAGTTCACAACAAGGGGAAGCGTCACCTTCCTTCACATCATTGATAACTCAGTACAATTCTTATAATTACGGAAATAACACCGACATCAACATCACCACCACTTATAATCATTCTCTAGACACAACTTTACGTCCTATTATTAATGACGAAGAGGGTACATCAACCGACAATTTTAACGCAGATAATCATAACGATAATAATTCACATACAGGTTATTTATTTCATGTAAACTATGATAATATCAATAACGAGAACCTTCTTTCTAATCCAACACTTATTGCTAACACAAATGCAACTATGCTCCTTACAACATCACTTCCTCACGAATATCTTAATTACGATTCTGCTTTTAATGCTAGAAATTTATCAAGTATCAATTTTGACTACGAATTCTCTTCTTTATTTTAATCATGTTTCCGTATTTTATTTAAAATTAAAACCAAACATTAAACACATAGTTTCGTACATATATACGTTCTACATTATCGTTATTTATACCAATATTTTAGAGTTAATTTCTATTCACCCAACATTAAGTTCGTATAATTCGAATTCCTTTTTCCAAAAGACACTATTTCTAATTCATTCGATTTTGAACACTAAATAATAATTAATATAGACAATGTTATCAATTTTATAACCCCAGTTATTCTGGTTTTGTACTGGAATTATAAACTTATATAACTCCAGTACTCCAGTTATCATAGACGAATTTAAAGAATTTATTTTTTTTTCTGTTCGTTCATTTGTTTGTTTGTTCGTTTGTTTGTTTGTTCGTTCGTTCGTTTGTTCGTTTGTTCGTTTGTTCGTTCGTTTGTTCGTTTGTTCGTTCGTTCGTTCGTTTGTTCGTTTGTTCATTTTGTTCGTTCGTTTCTTCGTTCGTTTCTTCGTTCTCTAGTTTGCTCATTCGATCTTTAATCATGTATATTTTGATTAAATGTATACCTTGTTCATTAATTCATTAAGCAATTGCTCACTCTCATATTACAAAATGTCACACTCAAATACATGACTGTAGATAATATATAGAAAATATAATTGAATGATGCAAAGAGTTGGATTTATACTAAAATTACAGTGTTTAAAATAAAAATCATGTCAGAATTTTCAAATTAGAGTCGCAACTTTCGTAATAGTAATAGTAATATTTCATTGAATAAATGATAATGACTTTACTTATGGATGTTCGTCACGTCATATCGATATGGTTCGAAGTCTAAAGCCATCCAATAACTTTGAAGTGTAAAGGATTTTTATTTAAATATATAACCATTAAAAAAAATACGTTATCAAATAGCCTTTGATATATTCTATAACGTGACGTATTTTTTTTGTTCACTGTATTATAAAAATTATTTGTAGTTAGAATTTTCTTAACGTCAATTTTAATAGTAATGACCAGATTTTCAGCGCCTCCGGTATCA